CTGCTTTTTGTTCCCCACATCGGTTGCAGAGGGAGCAATATTTTTGAAAAGTCTGGCATTTCTGACAAGAAGCTGAAGAGCAAATTGTTGCTTACCTTACAGTGCTGGCTACTATTAACGTCGACACGGGCGTCTTTCATTTCGCTCCGCGGTGTTGCCATTTTTGAAACAGAACGGCAGCAGGTACCAGTGCTGCGTCACACAGGGCCAAACACAAGCAGCAGCCTCCACACAGAGCAGCCCGAGACGCAAATTTAGCTCACAGACTCACAGCTGCGTTCAAGAAAGACACCATCTAATGATCGGCTGCTGCACAGAGAAGGACCTGCAGCAGCCTAGGATCACCGAGGATGCATGAGTCACCGAGAAACACCCCGCGTGCCCTCAAAGCATGCAGCGCCAACAGCAAATGCGGTCTGGCATTGTCTTCTCGTTCAACCAGGACCTAACGAGAAGGACTGGCGACGCCCAAGTGGTGGGGGGAGGTAAAGAGAGCGACGGGTGGAGGGTTTGCTCTGTGTCTGCTGCAGGCTGGCCGGATGACTTAACTGAGTCGGGATCAGTCGGAGTGGAGCATCCAACCCCACAGACACAGCTTCACACAGATGGTTACACCAGTTCTCCCTGCAGACATGCACTCGGTGAACTGCATTAGTGACAGCTCAGTTACTGCTCTGGCTGAAATGTATGCTAAATGAATATAGTGGAAAAAGTATTTCCTTCTTACAAATTTCTTTTTTCTTTCACGCTTAAGTGTTTTAAAGGGGCACTATTATGTGAAATCAACTTTTTTTTAGCTTTTCATTGTATTATAATGTTATTCACGCATCAAAACGTACCTGGAGTGTTGATCCTTTTATTCTTTAATGCATGTTTGACAAATCCTTAAAGCTCCCGTGGCAACCATACAGCTGTGCAAAATGCTTGGGTGAACCTAACACTGACTTCGGAGCTGGAGTTTCCAAGTTTCCATTTCAGAGAGCAACCTTCCCCCGCAACTCCCCAATGCAGCTCCTTCAGACTAGCCAGCAGCAATTAGCAAACACCTGGGGGAATTGGGCATCTGCTGAGCTCATTATAGGAGCTACTTCTCAATGCAACGCTGGTAAAAACATTGTTAAAAGATTAATAGAGGAGCCACATTGTGATGTCTTCCTGAGTCGGAGCAAGAGTTTTAAAGAGTCAGACGCCCAATTTAAATACATTTTTCTGTAAATCGTATTTGATATGTATATGGCATTTTTTCATAAGAAACAAAGGTAACATAGTTACTTCATTATGCTATAAAATGGT